ATAAAAAGAACACAAAACGACTGATACATGTGACAATAAGATGAATCTGAAATGCATTATGCTAATAAAAGAAGCCAAACTCAAAAGGGTATAAAGTATGATTCCATCTATATGACATTTTGGAAAAGGTAAAACCATGGGGACAGAAAACAGATCAGTGGTTTCCAGGGATACTGGTAAGAGACTGGACAGAAAGGGGCATAAGGAAATTTCTTGTGGTGATGGTTGAGCATGGTGATTATCCAGTTGTATGCATTTGTGAAAATTCCGAACTATATACTAAAAAGGGTGATTTTACTGTAAATAAATTATACCTCAATTTTAAAGACTCAAAACAATTGGACAAACTATAGTTGTACACAACATAAACGAACTCCAAAACATAATGCTAGCAAAAGAACCAAAACATAATGTTTAGGGATACATACTTAGGTAATATAATTTTGATGAGGAGGGAGAGGGCAGAGATTGGGAAGGGCACAAGGGTTGGGAGCTTCCAGTGTACCAGCATTGTTCAATTGTCCCGGTGATTACACGAGTAGTTGTTTTGTGATAATTCACTGAGCTATTATTTCATTTCATTTCATTTCATTTCATTTCATTTCATTTCATTTCATTTATTTTATTATTTTATTTTATTTACTTATTTATTTAGAGCAAGCTAGAGAGGGAGCATGAGTGGAGGAGAGAGGGAGAGAGAGGATTCCAAGCTGATAGCATGGAGCCCGATGCAGGGTTTGATCCCATGACGTTGGGATGCTGACCTGAGCTGAAAACAAGAGTTGGACATTTAACTGACTGAGCCACCCAGGTATCCTATATTTTATACCCTTTAAAAAGAAAGCAAGGCAAGTAGTTCAGGGTAAATTATAGGAGAATTATAGGAGAATAAAATAAGAAGATATATTTCTTAGAAGTATAAGGCTTTCCTAGATTCCTGTCTTGGCTCTACCATTTGTTTGACCTTAGGCAGGTTTCTTAACCTTTCTCAGCCTCAGTTTACTCATCTACAAAATGAAAAAATGCCTCATGAAGTTATCATGTGGATTAAAAAGAGTTAATATAAATACGCCTCAGGATATCTACCTAGCTCCCAAGACCCTTTTTGGGGGTTCATCTTGTAAACATGAGGTGGTCTCCTAAGCAGCCACGATTTTGTGTTGTATGATCCCACTACTGCCCACCTCGACCCAGGGTGGATATCTGACCCATGCTGGGCTAATCATGAAGCCCTCTGGAGAGCTTAGAATTGGAAATGAGCAACTATATTCTCTGTTTGGGCGTTATCATCAACAGAAGACATACAAATCTCCACAGCAGTGGTGTACACATATTTTATCCCCTACGTGGCCAGAGCAGAAGAGAAAGAAAAGACTAAAACAATGGGGAGATGGAGAGAGTGCTGCCTGTGTTTCTGACTGATATCTGGTTCCTGTTTCCACTCCCTTCTGGGGGTCAGTCCTTAGGTTCCATAAAACACAGAATATCTGTATAACAAATGTCCTTAAAAAAAATGTAGCTCAGGTTGGATTCTATTATTACAACTCAACAGTCCTAGCTAATGTGATCATATAAAGCATGAAGCACATAGAAAGGGCTTAAAATATGATGACTATGGCAGCAACTGTCTGAACTTTGATCTATGTGAGGTGGGGACTTCCTTAACAAGCCCTTGGAAGAAGCCTACTCTGGTGTTCAAAACACAGACTGACCTTGAGGAGGCTGTATCTTACCCTTCTGTTGGAGGTCTGTAAGGAATCTGTTAAGAAAACAGTCCTGTCTCAAATTTCCTGCTAAGCCCAAAAAAATTTCAATTGCTGAAGATTGCTTCAAAAAAGAAAGAAATTCTAGTATAATAGGATAAAATTACAACAAAATACCATTCACAAATAGAATCAAGTGCCTAAATTTAAAGCCTAAAGCAGAAGTCAGACTAGGTGAGTTTTCATCTAACTAACCAGGATAAAAGATGAGCATTTGCAATTAATATTGTCCTGGATTCCATTTTTTCTTGGTCAATGCCTACTGAATTTAGAACTTCTATGTTTTGTAACACTAAAACATGTCTATCTTTTGACATCCACAAGCTGGAGACTATTTTCCCTATACAGTGAGGACACAAAACTGGTATTCTGAGCTAACACGGACTTATTACTAGATTCTAAAAAGTCCAACTCTTTCAGGAGGGCAGGCTATTGTCTCCATACTCATCAAAAGTCAACCTGTGTATACTCAGATGAAGCAGTTTAGAATCAAGTTATGTAAGCCATACTTAATGCAGTCAGTCCTTATTTTATATCATTTTTTTACAAATAATTTAATCACATAATTACTAAGACACAAGCAGAAACAAGGTGTTGTTACTAACTTTATCATTATACTCAATATCTATTTCAAAAGACACATAACAATAATTTCATACAGCTACTACAGCCAATTTATGTACTAAGATTCTCCATTATAGCTGTTTAGTATACTTATATGCAAAATATGAAATATGAATCAATTCTGTTGTTTCCCAGCAGGTAGAAAGTAGTAACTTAAAAGCATAACTGCTAATTTTAATAACTAACAGTGACTATATTGATATTTTTAACCTAAGATCTGAAAAAAATACATACACATCCTAACCCATAATTTCCTTAATAAAGTATTTTTTGTGATATCTAACCTCTCATGAATATACTCTTCTCTAAACAAATATCTGATTGCCATTCATATTTATATAAATACTACCTACATACAATGAGATAATATTTGTAGCATCCATTTCAAAATTCCTGACGCATGTTGGAAATTTAATTCTCCTAATTGGGTAACATATACCAATTATCATGAAACCATTTGTACATAATATTCAAAATAAAATTTATTTATAAACACTAGAGGGTGCTGTAATTCAACAATGCCCGGTGCCTGGCTTTGAGGCTCAAAATTTTCTCCTCGATTAAAGATAAATTAAGATAATTTTCAGCACCAACAATTTCTGCTCTTGAACTAATACACAAAGATAATTTATGAGCCAAAATTCCATTCCTCCAAAACATATAATGAGACTTAGTAGATTCCATTGAAATCATTTTTTATTGTATACTTCTTGCATATTTAATATTGTGGTAAGTGGAGAAAATAGAAAATTAGTAAAGGAAAAAGTATAAAGATGGTCCTTGCCTTTAGAATGAATTAATGCAATGTTCAGATGGTTAAGAGAAGGTGTATCTTATAATTTCATAGGCTTAAATTCAAGGAACATTACAAAATGAATTTGGTAAAAGACATTTCAATTTTAGTTGCTAAGTGTTAAGATATAATTTAGCTGTTTTACAAAAGTAATGTGAAATTTAGTATTTCAAATAAGTAGGGGCACCTGGGTGGCTCAGTCAGTTAAATATCCAACTCTTGATTTCAGCTCAGGTCATGATCTCACAGTTCGTGAGTTCAAGCCCTCCATCAGGCTCTGTGCTGACAGTACAAAGTCTACCTGGGATTCTCTCTCTCCCTCTCTCTAAATAAACATTAAAAAAATAAAATAACAAATAAAAATGCTGTAGAATATCATCTGATCTCTTAAAAAATATTTTTAAGCCAATAAGCTATAAGAAATTGGAAAAGACCTAAGGCTTTGAATATCCAAAATAGGAAATAATTAACAATAATATCAATTTTAAATCTTCAAACATTCATTTTGTAATTTTTAAACTTATTCCTAAAACATTCATAAGCTCAATTACAAGTCTTTGAAATTTTCAAAGTTGAGAGTAATTTATGTTGCCAGTTAGCAATCCAGAAAAGTTCTCAGAAGTGTAAGTTTCCAATAGACAGCATTAGACCATCACAAGTAACAAAGTTAAATGCCTAGTAAAATATATCATCTATATATTTCAAGAAATGGTTATTAACTGAGACACTATTTAATCCTAACAAAGCATTTTTCCTTTGAAAATGTTTACAGGGGAAAAAAATGAAACGTTATAAATATTTCTAAAGTTCACATACCCCAAGTCAACCCATTTCTCTCAATCTCTCTCTCCGGTCTGTGCACTCACACACGCATACACACGCACCTACACGTGTGTGCAGGCATGTATACTCACCACACACTCACATACCATCTACTCCCCAAGAGAGGGTGTATATCCCTCTCTCTCTCATTCCTTTCCCTAATGAATTGCCAAGAGCCCCCAAATAAATCCAAAACCGTGGCACCTGTTGATGAGACAGTCCCTCCAAATTTACAATAGCTCCAGATAAACTGTTTCAGATTAACATAATGTAACACTAGAGAAAAACCAAAGATACCACTGAACCAGGCTCACAAACCACCCAGACTCTAGGAATCAAAATACATGGCAGAGAGAGAAGTAGCCTTACTGCTGGAGCCCAAAGAAATTCTGAACATGGAAATGATTATTTAAAGTTTGTATTTGGCTCCTATGTTCTTTTGGTGCGAGCTTCCCCTTTTTATCTTTATCTGCCTTGTACCTGCCGGATTCCTTGGGCCCTTATTACACCCAGCTGCCAACTTTCCTATTCAGTGTCACATCATGTAGCAAACACTTTCTATTGCAACAGGTGAAAGCATACACACTCATTAGAGTAGTAATGTTTGAAAAGTTCACATACCTGCCCTTTCATGAAGGTTTTCTGAAACCTTTTTTATGCACACCTCCACTAATGAAAAGTAATGGCTCTAAGAAAGTCAGTTACGAGGAAAGTTTTAGTCCTTTTGAGCCAGTCTCAAATTGCTACTATGAACATTGTATTTTGGAGCTAACGACATAATCCTAATCATGATCTTAGCTTCTCCCTAATATTGATAGCTTTTGCTCATAAGCCTGAAAACTATAGGGCCTACATAAAGTGAAGAATGGGTAGAAATGTGTAGTTTATTTACAAACACCAACTTTCATTTCTTACTACTATGGAACATCATGTTACGTAAAGATTTATGAGTTGTAAGACTAGTATATTCTAATAAAATAATAATTCAAGATGAATACCTGTTTTCCATGTTTCCTAAATCTGGTTGCAGACGAATAGTCTCTGTTGTAATTTCCACTTTCCGCACACTTCCAAAAAAATCAGTTATCAGGACATTTTTAGGATCCCTTTGAAAAAGATCAGTGCGATGTCCAGGGGTAGATACACATAGACTTTTGGGACAGACCTGAAACTGAAAAAGATATATGTAACAATAAATACACACATATACATACAGCATTTATTAAATCAGTAACACAGTATAGTAGACTGTTCTGTATTTTTAAAGCTCTCCCAACCTGAAGAAGCTACTGATTCTAAAGATTAAAGTTTCATTGCTATGGTAGTACATGACATTCTAAGAAAGCTATACAGACATTAGAACAAGTAATAAAAAGGGAAGCTGGCTAGGGAGGGAAAAAAACATTCAGTTTTTTTAAATCATATGCTACCAAATATATTTTGGACATTAAATTTACTGAGAACTCACATGTAACACTACAAGAAACATTGTGGGTTTTTTGCAACTACATTCGTCTCAGTGGGGTGCTCTACCAGAATGTTTTATTTTATTATTATTATTTTTTTTTCTTTTAGAGAGAGAGAAAGTGCAGTGGGGGGGGGGGGGGGGGGGGAGAAAGAATCTTAAGCAGGCTCCATGCTCAGCTCGTAGACCAACATGTGGCTTGATTCCATGACCCTGGGATCATGATTTGAGCCAAAATCAAGAGTCAGACGCTCAACTGAGTAAGCCATCCAGGAGCCCCCAGAATGGCCTTTCAAACATTTTATAATCATGATGCTTCATTTAAAAAACAAAACAAAACTTTAAATTCAAATAAAATATTACACAGTAGCCCAAAATATAAAAGATGAAAGCAGAGCTGCTCTGGAAGGCAGGAAGTTGAAGTACAGGCACCCCTCTCCCCCCAACTAGAGAGGCCCTTTGTTCTCCTGCTGTGTATAAATTGTATAAATTAAGTAACTTTCTTAGTTTATCCATAATGAAAATAAACTCAAGGCACATCCAGACACTCTACTGCTCCAAAGAATAAAGCCTGAAAACCATGACTTCATCTCTACATTGATCTCACAATAATTTCTATGTTAACCTTACCCCTGATATTCCAGATCAGTGAATTACCAAGGATAGACATATAGTCATTCATTCACTCAGCAAAGGATAAAAAATGTCTACTACATATATTTCATACTGTTATCTTCCAAAAAGGATACAGAAGTTGATAGACATGGTCCTATCCTCAAGCCTTTAAGCCACATCAGAGATGAATAAACCTAACAAGGTAGAAAAAAAGGTGACAGATTCTGCTTCAGAAAAGGATAAACTTTTTATAGGTTGAGGATAAGAAAAAAGAGGGAGTGGGATTTAAGCTATTTTCTGAAGGGAAAGGTAGATTATAGATGGGAAATAGCATTCTTTTGTGGGAGTGGTGACACAAACAGATGGAGGCACAAGTGGGGAGGGAGGAAGCCAGGACTTTCCTGTGGTGGACGGAGTGTGGTGAGACTGATCCTGAGAGCCACAAACACATAGGCCAGCCGACCTGTGACAGTACACATGTGCAGTCGCATGCAGCCTGGCTACTTGGTTTTTGTGCCGGCGTGTGACTCCTGCCAACACCAGCCTGCCATTTGCAACCCTGCCATTCCCGTGAGAGGGTGTACCATTCCTAGAGGTACTACAGTACCAGGTCAATGAGTGCAGTGGATGGGGCAAGCTCTTGTTCCACCTCCCTGCTCCAAAAATCCATTTAATATACTGTCCTCAGATAGAAGATATAGTAGATACTAAACTGCTAAAAACAAATATTACACTCCATCTTAGCTAAAAGGCTGAGAAACAATGGGAAATAACTCTCTTACTAAAGGAGTGCCTGCAAAAATGTGTAGGGCAAATAACCTAGTTGGGCAGGAGCACAGGACATATGAAGAAAACCATGACAGGCCTGCTGGTAAGGGCCTAGGGCCTACAGCATTTGCCCACCTGTGGAGACAAGACCACATGCAAAGGTAATCGCCAATATGATGGGATATGGGTGGGGAAGGGCAGAGCAGCTAGAATTCAAGCTAGAATTTAATTACTGTGCTAAGTAACTCGTACATATTCTCATTTAAGCCCAACAATAACTTTGAGGTATATCAAAATTATTATCTCTACTTTAAACTACTAAAAGATTAAGTAATTTGCCTAACATCACAATGCCTTCCTGGTTCAGGAAAGCAGGAAAAGGAAATACAAAGAGATCAGGACATAAATTAAGAAGCAGTGAAGGCAAAAAGGGTGGGGAAAGTAAAATGCCAAACAGATTTTACAAGAAAGTAAAATGCCAAACAGGAAGGATGATACAGATGAAAGGTTGCAGAAACAAAGTAAAAGATAAAACAAAATAAACAAAGATAAGATTGAAGTCCTATGTATACTGAAGGCATTCCTGTATGAGCAACTTGGTGGGCTTTATTAAGTACCAGCAGAAGAAAGCAGGAAAAGCACAGTGGAATGAGCTTGGGGAACAAGATAAAAAGTAGTATCTTCTTTGCTGCTAAAACCACTGTACTTCACTTTCTTTGAGGTTATTCCTTCCTTCAAGAAAATTTTATCATATCATTCTGGTTTCCTTAGCCTTACCAACATTCACTTTTCATAATCTCCTTCACTTACAGAATCTCCACACTCTAACCAGATTATATAACTGTCAAAGACAAGGATGATGACATATTCCAACTTTTGTGCCTCTGCATGTATTCCATTTTCCTGGAATATGCTATACTTCTCTGCTTCCAAACCTGAAAGTCTCTCCCTTCCAAGAAAAATTTTAATGACCAATCCCACTGGATTTAAAGGAATCATACAAATGTGCATTGTTGTCATATCTTTTCATTCATTCAGAATATTCACTGAAAATCTATAAATATACTAGGTACTATAATTAAGTTCTGGGGGTAATAAGATACATAAAGCATGGTTCTTATACTGCTTATTTAAGAAGCTGAAAGCCTCAAGGGAACGTCACAAATATAAACAATTACAGAGAAATATTAAAAGCAAAAGTATCTTAAAGGTACATAGCAAGAGTTAGATGTTCACAGAGGAGAGAAGATTACCTGGAGGATCCAGAGACTTGAGATAATAGGCGATACTCTATAAATGTGCTTTGCAACAGTTACCAATGACACTATAAATTTTTAAGGGGCTAAGCACAATGTCTTCTAATTTTGCTGCTCCTGAAGCACCTGATATAGTACACTCTGAATACGGCTGATACCCAACACATTTAATCCAACAGAATAGGTATTAGTTCACAACATCTGGAGACATGCCAATTCACTATAATATTTAACTTCAAGGAAATGGATCATTCTTACTGAACAAGATTAAAATAATCATTCAATTAAAAAAATGGAAGTGGAAAACAAGATATTAGTGAGGAATGTTTATTAAAAACTACACACACAAAAAAAATAAAAAAAATAAAAACCACACAGCAACTGTGGGCAAAAACAAAACAGGAGTTTCTTCAGTCTTTCCTGTATGATTTCAATGGAAGAAGTAATTATTTTTTAATTTTTTTCCAATGTTTATTTATTTTAGAGAGACAGAGTATTTTTTTTTAAATCCATTAGACATCTATCTGAAGTGTAAAGTGCATATATGGTAAACTTTTGAGACACTGTGTCACATATTAAATAAAATATACAATGTATAATTAAAAATGGGAATAAACTTGGGGCACCTGGATGGCTCGGTCGGTTGAGCACCCGACTTTGGCTCAGGTCACGATCTCGCAGTTTGTGAGTTCGAGCCCTGCGTCGGACTCTGTGTTGACAGCTCAGAGCCTGGAGCCTGCTTCACATTCTGTGTCTCCTCCTCTCTCTGCCCCTTCCATGCTCATGCTATGTGTCTCTCTGTCTCTCAATAATAAATAAACGTTAAGAAAAAAAAAAACCTTTTTTAAATAAAAAAATTTTTTAAAAAAGGGAATAAACTTAACCACTATAGTAACTGGAATTTAGGTGACTATAGTTTTCTAATAAAGTAGCATTATAACAAGATTTAATTTGCAAATTCATATTAAGATATAACAGGCATCAAAATATATAACCTTCAAAACATAAGAAATAGTTCTATGTTATCAAATATGATAGCTCACAACAGTGGTTTTCAGAATTTTGCAGAACTTTTTTTTATCTTAGAGAGAGTGCGCATGAGTGGGAGAGAGGGGCAGAGGAAGAAAGAGAGAGAGACAATCTTAAGCAGGCTCCATACTCAGTGCAGAGCCTGACGTGGGCTTGATCCCATGACCTTGCGATCATGACAGGAGCCTAAATCAAGAGTCAGATGCTCAACAACTGAGCCACCCAGGAGCCCAGAACTTCTTTAATTAAAATAAAATTATCTAAATGGTAAGCCCCATCTACTTGGCTTCCCCTTCATTCTCCCTGCTCCACAAAGGCAGGGACAGTGTCTGCCTCTTTCACTAGGATATAGCCAGTGGCTGGCACTTAGCCAAAACTCAAAAAAATGTTTCTGAATACAAGAACAAGTTATAAATTAATGAAAAAATAAGAGCAAAAGTCATTGATGCACAGTAATTATCCAGGCTAGAATTGTTTCAAGCTTTTTCTTTTGCTTACTTTCAAGAGCAACTTCAGAGTAGATCTAATTTAAGGGTACAATCAGTAGAGAAAAGTCAAGAAAAAAGATTGAACTAAATTCAAGAAGCCACATCAAAACACTGTATTAGAAGTTGTAGGGTGGACACAAATATGTAAGAGAAAATCCCTTTTCTCCAACATCTTATTACACTCAGTAAGTTCAGAAAAAGGCAGACTATGATAAGTGGTACAAAAGAGAAATAAATCTCTGAAAAACTTTATTTATCTTACTTAAATCCAACAGGGAAGAATTATGGGGCTATTTCCTGAAGGAGGTAGGATCTGATTTGACTCCCAAAGAATAGACAGAATTTGAATAAGTGAATCTAAAAAAAGTACATTTCTGGTAGAGAAAAGAGCATGAGAAAATGAATGAAAACAAGAAAGCACCTCAAGGAATTTAGTTGACTTTAGTTGGACTAAAGCTTGAGGCCTCCTGTAGTAAAGACAGAGATATTACTGTAAAGGGAAATTCAAAACCATTTAAAAGGCTACCATTCAACATATGAAACAGTACCCCAGGAGTACGGGGAGTAAAGGACTTCACTTACTGCATTAAGCAGACCTATGTGCTATAATCAAATCAAGCAAATACTTACAAGGTCATTCATATTAGTTTGACTAGCTGGATTAATTTCTTCCAAAAATTCCAAGACATAAAATGTATATCTATCCATAAGGTGGACTCCAATTGCAGGATCAGGTTGATGCTATGAAAAAGCAAAGCATATACAACGGCATATTAAGCCATAAAAAAAATGAAATCTCGCCATTTATGGCAACATGGATGGATCTTAAGGGCATTATACTAAATGAAATATGTCAGAGAAAGACAAATACCATATGATCTCACTTATACATGTAATCCAAAAACAACGACTAGAACAAAAACCAACCTTATAGATACAGAGAACAGATTGGCGGTTGGCAGATGAGAGGTGGGGGTAAGACCAAATGAGTGAAGGGAGCCAAAAGGACAAACTGCAGTTATACATTTAATAAGACATGAGGTGTAATGTACAGCATGGTGACTATCGTTAATAATACTGTATTGCATATTTAAAAGTTGCTAAGAAAGTAAATCTTACAAGTTCTCATCACAAGGAAAAAAAATTCTGTATGTATGGTGATATGTTTTTTTTTGTTTTTTTGTTTTTTGTTTTGGTATTGTGACATATGTTAACCAGACTCATTGTAGTGATTACAATATATACAAATATTAAATCATTATATTGTACACCTGAAACTAACATAATATTGTATGTCAATTATACTGCAATAATTTTTTTAAAGCAAAGCAGAAGAAAGAAGTATATGTCTAATCTCATCATTTTAAGAAAATGTTTTAAATGCAACAAAAATTTCCTTCTAAGGTGTTAAAAAGTCTGAGACTAAAAAAAACCCAGATATATTCATAAAGCATACAAGTGATTTCCAAAATAGCAACATATTCCAAAGACAATGCAGTTCACAAATGGGAAGAATGCACCTACCGAGAGCGAATCTTCTCCCACTTGGCTACTAGCTAAGGCCATTATGTTAGGAGAATAAAATCGTTCGTACATGGATGCTCCTTGACAAGTATCAATAATAAAGAGCAGCTCATTGTAGCTGAAAGAAAAGTGGTAATATCTTTGACATGAATCATGCTGTTAATAATAGAGTAATATTTTTATAATACTTGCATAAGATGTTGAAGTCTTGAAATCATATCTTAGTCATTTCATTAAAAATTTGAGAGTTTTCAGAATTCCCAGTACAAATTTGATATTAGAAATATCAAAGCTATAATCCTGTCCAGGGAAACTACCTCAACAGGGAGTAGTGGTTGTACCACAAAGTGGCGGCCTCAACTCTTTCCCCCTCCCTTATCTTGAATCCAAATGAATATTCAATTCAAAAACCAGTTATTTGGCACCCATGCTGTCCTAGAAAACGAGTCCAGGTTCAGGAAAAAATAAAAATATATGACTTAGTATACTCAAAAAGCTTAAAATCTAACTGGAAGAGAAACATATGAACATATAACTAAAGGGAATGTGGTAAGAGTTACAAATAGCTATTAGAGCCTACAGTAGGCCTCACACTAAGCTGGGGATACAGCAGTCCCATAGAGCTTCATAGAGCTTCATAGAGCTTCCCTGCCTTCATAGAGCTTCAAGTCTAGCAAAATCAAATGCTCTAAGAGCATAGAGAAAGGAAGAGAGGGAACTAGTTCCATAAAGAAAGGCAGGTCAGGGAAAGGTGATGTCTGTCATGGGCAAGGAAGGGTGAATTATTTTAACTAAAAAAGAAAGGAACAGCACATCCCAGGAGAGGAAAAAAGCTGTACTACGGCACCTAAATTTGAAAAAGTGTAATTATTTGGGAAAAGGAGAATAGCACTATGTAGTTAACATTTACAATAAATTTGGAAGATGGAGAAAATTAGTTTCAAAAATGTAGGGTAAGGTCAATCTATATTTTAAAATGTATTGCCTAGCTGGTGAAGGTAGGGAGCAGATAGAAACTTTTTTCAGAAGTTTTTCAGACACTGGATCTAGGTAAACAGCTAACATTGCACCTAGAAAAGAAAACAAGGAATCTTGCACCATAATATCTAAGCATGTGACAAAAGGAACAATTCATATGGCATATTTGTTCTGAGACAAAATCTGAGGAGGCCCCTGAAGATCAGAAACATCTAAGGTTACGAGGGGCAGTATACTAGAACAATTCAGAGAGTCAGCCCTATGACTGGAATTTGGAATGAATTCTAGTGCTGGACTGACTACTTGTGTAAAGTCTAGCAAGTTACTTAATCTCTTTGTGCCTCAATTTACTCACGTGTGAAAACAGGAATAATAATAGTATCTACCTCATGGAGTTATCATTAAAATTAAATGAGACAGTACATATAAAACACAGTGCTTAGTACCCAGTATATATCCAATAAATGTAAGCTATGAATAAGATGAAACTAGTACCTAGCAAAAGTTTCCTCTTCAACACCTCCGTTCATTCTTCTTATGCATATAATTCAATATTTACATTTAACATGTAGCACAGTTGTGTACATACACTAGATTTTAAACACTCTGAAGGCAGAGTAAGCATCACATTCCTGTCTGTGCCATGTGTTTAGAAGGTAACCCAGAAGTTTTTATTGAAGATAATCAAGTTGAAAACACTTCTGCTGCTTTCTATTCTCTTACTTTCATTGACAACTTTCAACTGGGGCGGGGGGGGGTGCTTACCATGGATTACTAACAACATATCATCCTTAATGTGAGTTGTTACAAATATTATATTAATTGTAATTTCAGCATTTTCTTCCAAAGAAGAAATAATGTACTGCTCTCATGTGGAGGGTCAGAGAATGTACAAAAAAGTAACAACAGGCTGAAGCTGGAAAATAAATATATGTTCACAAACCCTGTGCATAATGGGGAACTTGATTGTGGGACTCTTATTTCCTCCAAAAACAATGCTAAATATAACAGATAGCTGATCTTAAAAGGTTAACTTTTTTTTTTAATACTCTTTAATGACACTGAGGTTTCTTTTAAAAATAATTCAGTTCAGTAGAAATAACAAACATAAATCTAAGAGTAGAAGAAACTATTAAAATAAATTAAAATCTCATAAAGTAAGATCTACAAATCCACTAACCATGGAAAAATTAGGTATTAATTTATCTTATGAAAAGTAATCATCTGCTAATTACCGTCTTTTTTGCCACATTTGCTCAAAAGCATCTGCAAGTTCTATGTTGGTAATTTCTTCAGAATCTTGAAATTTCAAGAAACCATTTCCACCATGTCCTTGTAGGAAGAGTTAAAAAGATCAAATATATGCATTTTTTTTTTTAATACAAACTGCATACATCCTGATACAAGCATTTACTTCACTCATGGCAGTATTTTAATAGCATTTGTTATTTTACACTCTAAAATTAAACGTACTGTGAAAATGAAAAATTTAATTTTCTATTATACCAATTAAAAAGAGAATAATGATACACTGTGCAAAAAAATAGATCTAATATCTTTTAAAGTTCTCATCATTTTATCATATAAAAACACATTTATACTTTTGCACTGGCTTCATTATTATGTCAGAAGTGAGTTTCATAAAAAAATTTCTCAAACACCAGGCAAATACTGTGGTGAGAAAGAGGTTGCAAACACTAGCTGGTGCCATAGTACGCTAGTTCTATTCACGGTGTATACCGGGAATGCTATTACTACCAGGAAGTGTCATTCCCACATAAAAACCAAAGTGTTTACTGCCATCAACCACTGTCCCATGAGAGCTGACCAGAAGATTACCTTTAGAATACAGGGATAGAGCCAGTCTGTCTGGATTCAAATGCTAGCTTTGCCACTTAATGACTGTGTTAACTTGGGCAAATAACTTAAATCTTTCTATGTCTCTGTTTCTTTTGCTGTAAAGTAAGAAACATATCAGCACCATCATTAGCATGCCTATAAAGCTCCTTTGTGCAGCTTTTTAAAAGGTACTTCCCACAGGCCATCAAAATAGAAAAACCTGTCTACGTCAATGGCCCCTCAGAACACACTGCAGTCCTGTGAGCTCAAACTGGACCAAAACTAAATCAGAATTTTAGGAAAGACCTGAGTATTTGCATTCAAATAATCTTCATACACACTAAAATTTGAGACTCCATCAACAGGAAACCATTGTAAAGTTTCACACAAAGGAAGGACAGATTTGCTATTTTAATTAAATACTTTAGTAGGATGGTTAACAGGAGACAAAACTGAAGACAAAGCTATAGCCAGGATCCTAAGTAAAAGGTAGTAAGTTTTTACCAGGGTAATAGTAAATAAATAAATAAATAAATAAATAAATAAATAAATAAATAAATAAAGATCATAAACTGAGGGACAGTATCTCATACTGTTTCCAAATATCATTTCAAGTTGTCCTATGAGAAAAGAGAACTACAAAACAAATGTTTAAATTTCTTTCAATGAAGATTCCTTCTTGAGAAGAGTTACAATATATTCTCTTACTAAATATTTAAATTCTGAAATTACCAGTCATATAAATTAGAATATTGCTCCTATCATCAGAAAGAAGACGTTTTGACCGAGGAGTACTAGGTGGGATCCTGCCAGTTAATACCCGTAAAAAATTCTCCACAGTCACCTGAAAAAAAAAAAAAAGAAGAAGAAATCAAATGAAATAGAACTCAGGGAAACGTGATAATTTTTTTTAGTTTTCAAAAACATTCCTCTTTCTTTCTCTATGAATTACTCAGCATAAACTGAAAATAAAACACAAAAAGAAATATAACACAATTCAATATATACCTTAAATATATACCTCAAAATTAACTTGCTTCCATTAAATACTAACAGCTAACAAAACTACCTTGGGGAAAAATCAGTTAATTAAATTTAAAACTTTAAATGCTATGCAAAATATTGCCCAAAAACTTAAAAATTATTTATCTTTTTTCAAAGGCAATTCTTTGGGAAGATACAAAATATAGAAACTTGTAAATAAATCTAACAACATTATAACTACTGCAGTTAATCTGTACAACTACCTGGTGAATTCTAGATAAAATTTGAAAGATAGGTCCATAATGAATCATAAAAATAAAGCCATAATGATAGTTCCATAAATAATCCCTAAATTAGGTATCTTTGATTTTTTAATGCATTTTGTTACTTTAATTATGTTAGGGGTAACTTTAACATGTAAAAAATTCATCACACTTTAAGCCAGATTTCCTAACCTGAAATGTGTAGATCTCTAGGATTCTTTGAAAGCATATCTGAAGTTATCTTACACAGATCTAAATTTAAAAAGCAGAAATTCTATCCAACTTTCTTGTTTGACCTTTCCTTAGATCATGAGTATGTAAGTGTATATGTGTATGTATGTGTGTTCATGTGTGTATGTATATGTATGTGTATATAATGTTTGGTTACATTTTTCCCAGAAGAGAGCAAAATGCTAAATGTTTTAATAAGAGTTCTTGTTGGCTAACAAGGAAGGGAAATTTTTGGTTTATATTTTATGATGACTAAATAAACAAGTAAAAAGTCGAATATTCATGCACATTTAATCACTGAACAAATATTCCTGAGTGCCTTCAAAGGGCTATAAGTACTGGCTAGGTATAAGATACACAAACAGGCCATGGCTTCAAAGAGCTTACAGGCTGGCAGGAGATAGAGTTGATATTTTAAAATTACTTCAAACAGGTCTGGAGACACCAAAAATTGTGTCTTACTTTTGGTAGGCTTGGTAAAAGGGGAAGGATTAGTGAGGAAGACTTCATCAAAGCAGACTTCAAATCTTAAACATATTCACTACCTATTAAATTTAAAATGAAGTTTCAAAGGGAAAAAATTATAGTATAATGTCATCTTTCAAATTTACATTTTGACTTTTAATCATATATGGATAAAACACTGGAAGCATATTAAAAGTGATTACCTCTAGTGGAAATATGGGTGAGTTTTTTGTCAATCATTCTAATTTTTCCACATTTAATGTGTTTACTAAAAATACAAAGCCTGATATTTTAGGTCAAATATGAAACATGAACAATACATTTACTGTAAAAAAAAAAAAAAGTTGATAACATGAAAACTCACTAAAATACTAACATAGAAGCTAAGATAAAGTTGTCCTATCCCAGATATATATACGAAATGTTCATACTGTATTAGTTTTACTCCTATGAACTGCAGAGACAAAATTATATCAATGCTTCAGTGACAGTTATATACAAAGTTTAAAGAAAAAGACTATTCTATTGCTATTTTAGAGCTTCAAAGTAATGATATCTACATTTCAAAAATGTTGCTAAATTAAACAACGTTACCTCATAACTTCTATAATCTACTTCCACATCATCTCCATACACATTTAGTTCCATATTCTTGTGACTAAACACTGTAGCTGGTTTGGGATTTCTAGGGTTGCATGCCATATCGTCTGCAAGCATCAGAACAATGTGACTAGGAAAAAAAAAATTCCAGGAAATATGCTACTTAAATAAAACCAAAAAGTTAAAAGCAGATACATTTTATTTATATCATGGGCAATTATGTTCATTCTTTTCATTAAAAATAACAAAAATAATTATTGAGTACATTTTTTAAAAGAAATTTTTAATTGTTTTCATATCCTTATGTAGTATAAACTTTAAAGAAGGAAATTTAGAACAATCTGGCATGAACTTATCCACAGAACCTGAAATTACTAACTTAAGTTTTATGCCATAGAGCAAAGGGAAGCTGAAAGAGCTACACTATCCTCCCCAAATATTTTTAAAATTTTTAGTAATATTTGGGGCACCTGGGTGGCTCAGTTGGTTAGGCGTCTGACTTCAGCTCAGGTCATGATCTCATGGTCCGTGGGTTCAAGCCCCGCATTGGGCTCTGCTCTAACAGCACAGCACCTACTTGGATTTTCTGTCTCCCTCTCTCTGCCCTTCCCCTGCTTGCTCTCTCTCTTTCTCTCAAAAATAAATAAACATTAAAAAAAAGTAAAATAAAATTTTAGAAATATTTGACATTCTTAAGACTTATAGAGTCCACATTAAGCTACGATACTCCAAAAATTTAACTTTCAGAATCTTAAATGCTTAAGAATGGAAACATGCAAGTGCGATCAGTGTGCCACAGAACACACCCCCAGGCCAGTCATTGTTCACTGGCTCCACTCCATCTCCATAATACCAGACACCATCTCTTAACTAGATACTGAAATAGTTTGCTATCTGGCTTCCTGCTTCCAGTTTTGCCCTAATCTTACAAGTCATTCTCCTTATAACTACCAGACTGATCTTTCTTAAATAAGTCAAATCATTAAACTAAGTAAGTCGAACCATCAAATTTTCCCATTTAAAATCCTCTAAAGACTCATTATAATTAGAGGAAAACTGAAATTCCTTGCATGGTCTAAAGGCTTTCTTAATGTGGCTTCTGCATACCTCTCTAACTGCAGCTCCTAGCATCCACATTCACTATGCTCCTTCCCCCCTGGCCTTTCTGTTCCAGGAATACGCCAGGCCCTTCCCACTTCAGGGGCTACTTACTGACGAACTACATTTAGACTTCTCCCAGATCTTCCTATCATTCCAATCTCAGCTAAGCTACCCCATTCTTATTAGGTGTTTATGTTCTATAGGTCATTTATGAATTTGAAATCCTCATCATCTCCCCCCACCACCTCTAGTGGAATATAAGCTCTCTGAGGACAGGGGCTTTATCTGTCCTGTTCACAACTGTATCACTCACACTCAAGCATAGTAAAAGAGCCTGGCATATAGTAAGTATTCAATAAATATCTGCTGAGTGAATGAAACATTTTCATTTTTGCATATATTTTCTTTGAGAGAAGATTATAAAATTTATCTTAAATACTTCTCATCTTGATCTTACCATTAAAAGTGGTGAACATGAATCAGGCAATTCTTTATTCTACCATATACTGAGCTTCCCAAACATAAGGGAAAAATTAAATGTGGCATACATAATTAGTTTGGCAGGAGACAGCAAGAAGAAAGTGTTCTGCTGCATATGTTCCAAATACATTAAAGTTCAAAACTGAAACATTGTGATTTTTCTTGAAAATTGGCTAGATTTCTATTTTGAAAGGGTTCCAACCCTGCCGCAAAGATCAGATCTTCAGCTGTTACTGATTCATGCTCGCAGAATTGTGAAAGTTACTCCCCTTAAAATGGAAAAATAGATCTTCTTTTTTCATAATTTAAGATGACAAACTTACATTAAGTTATTATCAATCATCTTTTTTGTTATAAGCCATCATTAAATAAGACTGAACTGACTTCCAAATCTCAATATAGGAGTACTACTTTAGGCCATTTGACTTATGGTTAATTTCGCTCTATGAAATGAAATGATTATTAAATATCTATAAATGTCAATGTCAAAAAGTAGTAATTTCAGCTTAAAATGATAAATTCAATCAACATTTTTCCTACAGACAATTCTGAGCCTCAATATAACAGCATCATAACCTTCAGTTAACATAATCAATGTCATTTAAAAAATCATTTTAGGGGCGCCTGGGTGGCGCAGTCGGTTAAGCGTCCGACTTCAGCCAGGTCACGATCTCGCGGTCCGGGAGTTCGAGCCCCGCGTCAGGCTCTGGGCTGATGGCTCAGAGCCTGGAGCCTGTTTCCGATTCTCTGTCTCCCTCTCTCTCTGACCCTCCCCTGTTCATGCTCTGTCTCTCCCTGTCCCAAAAATAAATAAACGTTGAAAAAAAAAATTTTTTTTAAATCATTTTATTTGTGGATAATCACTGAAAAAAGAAAACAGGACTGGAAACAGACTGTATTTCAAAGATGTAGAAGTCACACCATATATTCTAATTCACTATTTCTAAAACTTAAGAAAGGTTCAGAACGCTTTTCTGAAGAAAAAAAAATTCTCACTTGGTCCAAGTGTTAAATTATTTGTATAATAATACTAAAATATAGAAGTGAAAGCAAACTGCTTAGGCTTATAGTTCTTATAAAACTATGAACAAATACAAAATTATAAATCATATTTAAAAAAAACTACCAAACTAATAATACTCTAAAAACATTAACTCCATTTGAAGGATGATGTTATTTTGCTAAAACTGAATGTCTGCTATTGTATTTCACAGGAAAAAGAGATAACATCAGGTCTGGTCCTATATTTCTTTTCTTTTTTTTTTTTGTATTTTGATATCTACACTACAATGTAACTCAGTAATACAGAAAATGTTCACAAAAGTATGCTGTACAAAATGTGATTCATAAATTCCTGTTATGTTACTTGACTGTTCAGGATAATCCAATCTTAAGACTTTGCCAATAAACATTCTCCAAACAGCAGTTATCTAACTTGCTGACTCCTTAAAGTGTCTTTGTCACTTGAATATCAGGTTAGTATCACAGCAGTTTTTTTAAGTCTTCACTGAGTGGGTATCAGATCAATCACTGCTGGAATCAGATATACTACTATATTCATATAACAACAGCAATCTGCTTTGTATCCTATTAAAACTGAGACAAAATCCCTCAAATATATCCAATCGATACAAGAATATGATATTCTTACAGTCTGGCAATCCTATACGACCATGTGTGATGACTCAACTCTCACTCTATTCAAGGCCCTGCAAAACCTACATCACACAACAAAACATATGGCAATATGGCCTTCTCTCAACACAAAACCAAAAGAAAAAGTGAGCACTGAAATTGTATAAGTTCAAACTGGCTTTGAATCCAAACAGTGTGTCAGTTATTTATATAAGAGTTTCCACATATTTTAAATCATGCATTCCTGTTAGTTAAAAAAATATGAGGGCACACCCATATATACCTACTAATTTGTACATCATACATATTTGCTACTTTAAGTATATATAATAAATATTAGTGAAGCATAACTTCTTTCCTTTTATAGACTAAAAAAAAAACTAATATTTTCTTCCCTTACCACGCCTTAGTAGCTGATTTATTTTTTTTTAATTTTTTTTTTCAACGTTTATTTATTTTTGGGACAGAGAGAGACAGAGCATGAACGGGGGAGGGGCAGAGAGAGAGGGAGACACAGAATCGGAAACAGGCTCCAGGCTCTGAGCCATCAGCCCAGAGCCCGACGCGGAGCTCGAACTCCCGGACCGCGAGATCGTGACCTGGCTGAAGTCGGACGCTCAACCGACTGCGTCACCCAGGCGCCCCAATAGCTGATTTAAAAGAATACTTTAATCATGCTTATATCTATTTTAAGGACAATTAAAATAAAAATGAAATTTTAAAACTTCTCAAAAAAGAAGGCATGAAACACAATTTGAGAAACATGTGGGGGAAAAACGGACTAAAATAAATACATTCCATTATGTTTGCCAAACATTGAATAAACAGGTAAACCCTGCATCCAGTCTGCTAGGGCCATTCTTTATTCACCTCCCCAAAGTTCTTCCTAGGCCCAATCAGGAACCAGGACCCAATTGGTTAAAAAAAAAAAATTAAATAGATGAATAATCCTTCATTGCCCTATATCATTATAGTGTGACATTTCAAAAAGCACAACTCTTCATTTACAATAGACTGGTATTACCTTAATAAAAATTTTTCACTGAATTAAATAAATTACTGTATTGGTAAAAATGTTTTTTAAATGTTCACTTAAAACTGCTATGCTATAGCCATGCTAACTAATCAGATAATTCTATCTGAAAGCATCTTTAGCTACCAGAGCTAGGATCACCAGGCTTATCTTCAGTAATATCAACATCCCAATGTAGAATAGTAGCTGAAATTAAGACAGCAGGAGATCTGAGAATCACAGGGATCTTTGGTGCTCTCTTAACTCTAGATTTCTGGTCATAGGTGTTGCTTTTTTTCCCCCTGATATAAATTATTCAGTATATTCTATATTATTGCTTCTGCAGCAATCTAATGACAGTTGGACCGAGCCAATTCAACAAATTTTGTTATGTAATAATTAGCCTGATGCCAGAGTAATTTACTTTTAGGCTTTTCTCCCTCTCTCTTCCATGTCTGGAGGAATCTCCAAGTTAATAAATCTCATCACCCATGCACTATGAAACTAATCATAGCAAATGTGCTAGCCACAGGTGCTGGACCATTAGGATTTTCTGAATTACTTTCAACTTGCCAAATGTCAAACAACTGGCATTACTGGACTACAGGATGCCAAGTATTTTATGTTATTAGAAATAAAACTAAAAATCTGCACTGCAGAGATGGGAAATCAACAGTAGCAGACATGTCACATGAAGGTAGAGCCAGCTAGTTATAGGCTTATACATATAAAGTCACATGTAGTTTAGTGTAATATAATAACTAACATTGATTGAGCACTTGGTATATCTCAACCACGGCACTAATAAAACAAGCACATTACAAGCATTATCTCATACATTATTTCCAAGATATGTATTTTCTCACCCCTATTTTACAGGTTATGAACTGAGGTACACAAAA